TCTGCCCTTTAAGTATTATGTAAATTGCCTTTTTCATATTTTTGCCATGACTTTGTCTCTCATTCGCTATTATTACATGTCTGATTTTTTTTTCCATAGGAGCCAGGTTAATTTTGGAGATCAGCTTTCCCAGACACTCTCTAGGCCACATACCGAGTTCTCAGAAACAGTACACAATTGCTTGTAAACAAATCTGTATGAATAGACAAACGTGTTTCTCTGTTTTTTCCCATAGCTGGTGAGTTTCCATGGTACGAATGTAATTTTAATAAATTGTCTGATACTCCTATTAAGAAGTTACCTTGGTTTGAACAATCTCAGAAATATGTTATTCATCCTATGATGCTTTGATGAAAAACTACAGGAATTTGCTCACTGAGCATGTGTGTAGGTCTCCTACCATATGCCAGACATCGTTCCCAAAGCTGATCATTCAATGTTAAGAAAACATACTTTCTACAGGCATATAGCACAGTGGAGCAGGGGGAAGCATGTATCCCTTTAAAAATGATAGTACAGTAACAGATTGTCTAAGTGTTATAAAGTGAAATTAGAGACTACTATGAAACAGTATAACAGGGTCACCTGAATTCAGTCAGCAGTCAGGTAAGGCCTTTTTGTGCAAAGGAAATTTCAGCTGAAAATGAATAGATGATTCATACTTAATCAGATGAAGAATGTGAGGAAGGGGAAGAACATTCAAGGTGGAGCCAACTGCATAGGAGAAGTCTTAAGGAAGAAAAGAACCTTACTCTATCAGAAACTGAAAGGATGCCAGTGTCACTAAAACGTCACGAGCACAAAGGGACCTGCCATGGAAGTTCATGGGCTGGAGGCAGGGACCAAGTCTGAATTCCATTTTGGATGCAGGAGGAGACAGATCGGGAGCTTTGAGTTGGCATGGCAGTCATCTTGGTGAAATACAGTGGCAGCTCGGAGTAGGATGGTGACAGCGATGATGGCAAGGAAACAAGAGGTTTGAGATGCTATTTCAGAGGTGAGGAAGGCTGGAGGAAGCCCACAGTGGCAGGCGAAGGCTGAGGAACAAGTGATGCCTTCTGGAAATGTTCAGTTTAGACATGCAAGGCATTCATAGATTTACATCAAGTTGTTGATTAAATAACGAGTCTATATATCAGAAGAGAGGTAAAAGTAGATCAGGTCTACTAATTGGTTTCTAAAAAGAGGTCTGAAAATAGCACCCTCTACTGAGAGTAGACCCATAACATATCTTCATATTCAGACAGCAGGAGGATACTTTTTCTTCATAGCTGTCAGCAAACAATATGCCTGTATTAAGATAGGATTTTAAGGCCACCTAGGTGGCTCAGTGGGTTAAGCGTCTGTCTAACTCTTGATTTTGGCTCAGATCTCACAGTTCATTAGATCAAGCCTTGCGTCAGGCTCTGTGCTCTTTCTCTCACTCTCTCTGTCCCTCTCTCTCAAAATAAATAAACATTTTAAAAAACAAAAACAGAATTTTAAAGGGAATTTTTTAAAAACGCAAACCCAGTTTCTCATGTGTGTTATTGCTTCGTGGTGTATAGCCTGCAGTACTCTGTGTATTATCTTTGTGAACAAGAGGGTCTGCCTGGGTCTCATACTACAAGGAACAAAAAGTCTCTGTAGACTTGTAGCTAAGGTGTAATATTGGTGTTTAAGTAGGAATTCCTCCTTGGTAATTTTTAAGCACATTTTTTTTATAAGTTGACTTTGCAAATGTGCTAGTTTTGATTATTTTTAGGGTGTGCTTCCACCCCTTCCACCCCCTTTTATAAGGGCTGTAGCCAGAAAAAGCCCAGCGGCAAGATAGAGGCAACAGATTTAGAACTCGGTAATCCTTCTTTCTTTCCCTTTACACCAAAGACCAAAACAAAGCATACATTGTTTGGAAGGGTGAAACATTTTTTCCTGCGTGGTTCAAAGACCTTTGTATATTATACCTTTCTAAATAATGGAATATATACTAAGCATCGGCCTATTCAAGTAGAACTTTGGTATTCTTCTGACACCTGCATGGCTTTTGACTTCTAAAAGGATAACTTACCTTTACTTGGTCCTTTCCTCCACAAATGTGTTTCCTTTCAAGACATATTTAGTAAACCTATACTATGTGGAAGGCATTTTTGTGGAAATGGGGAACCACACATGAACAAAGACAGATATTTTTACCATCATGGAGTTTATATTCTAGTGGAGAAAGAGTGAACAACAAATACAACATGTATTGTGCTAAAACAGTGAACGACATGGTGAAGGAAAATAAAGCCGGGGAGTGAAATCACATGTGGGTGGGTGGAGTGAGGGAATTCAGTTTTAGGTAGTGCAGTGAGAGGAGGTTTCACTTTGAAGGGAAATTTACATAAGACTTAAATACCATTTTAAATATCCTCTTTCTACAAATCGTTCACAAGCCCCATTTCTGCAATGGCAACCTATAATGACTATGACATGTTTACATCCTCTGTGACAGAATGCTTGCCAAATTATTTGTACCATTGCATTTTACTGCTCTGAGAAGGCATGGATACGTGGAACAGAAGCACAATCTGAATATCTGCAATTTATATCACTCTCTGCCAAGGCTGCCGTCAATGAGTTGTTCTGAACTCACCTATGATTACATATTACCTTATGCATTTTTGCAAATTGACTATGCCTTACTTGTGGCAAATTTCTATTTTTCCCCATACTGGTGGCAAGCTGAGGCTATGTTCCTGTCTTCACACAGCAGCATATGTCTGTCCCAAAGAGCCATGGCCTTATCTCTGTATTGGGGAAATAGAAAAACGTGTCCTTCTCTGAGAAGAATTGGAATAGAGTTCAGGCTTTTTCACCTGATTTTTTTCCTGTCCTTCAGCTCCAAGAGCTTTTCATTTCGTTATTCCATAAATAGTTATGGTCAGTTATTTCTTTATCAGAATCCAGTAGGTATTTAGCCATTTTATGTATTATTTTAGCACGTATATTACAATAATTTAAGAATATTTTATGTGGAGATTGGCATAGTTTTAACACCTAGTTAAAAGGTCTTGTAGTTATATGAAAATGCTGGCTTTCTTTTACATTATCAGAATATCATCTGCTCACATACCATTAGCAGTAAGTTCTGGATTTTCATGCCCATGCATATGTTCCCGGATCAATCTTTTCATGGCCTAACTTTGTATTTTAAAATCTGTTTAATGTATCTACTATCTGTGGATCAGGATATGTATTAATTCCAGCTACCTGGTACCATAAAAATTATCAAGAAGAGGGTAATGATATAAGAGGTTAATCTCTTATATTAACCTCTTAAATGTAAGAGGTTAATCTCTTTCCTGTTGGTTAGGAAAGATGCATGGCTATTAATGCTAATATGGCTGAAGTCTGAAGAGAAATCGAAAAGCAGGAGCTAAAACTATAAACAGAATTGTAAAGGAAAGTAAGATAACTAGTTTCAACACAATTTTAACAATAGTAACAACCCATCTGCCAGGTCCTCAGAAAGTCTTTATATTTAAAACAGTAATTATACTATGACTCAGTTATTAGTTTGTAATAACCCAATGACTAGTGTCTTGACCAGGGCGACCATTATTAAGGGACAAAGAAGAATAGGATATGACCTTAGAGATGTTAATTAAGCTAGTTCCTTCTTTATTTATAAACTCCAAGTTTCATGGAGAAGACAGCCCAGGATAACTAGAATGAAGTACAACCACCCAAAGATTCCTAAGAAAATGTTTGTATTTGGATTGGTTTAGATGGGAAAAGGTTCGTTTTTATCATACCACCTGAAATCCAAGAATCATCAGTTGATTTGTGTGTGTGTGTGTGTGTGTGTGTGTGTGTATGAATGAATGACTATATGAATAACTGACAAATCCTAGAAAATCTAGTCAGGCTAAACTATTATTAGCCAAAAGGTTGGGAAAGCCTTATAATAAATCGCTTATTAATATCTAACTGGAAGAAGGAGAGCAGAGAATAGTGAAATTAGAAGTATTTTTGTGAATACATATTTATCTAAGTAGCATAAATATATAATTTCCAACATGAAATGTTGTTTGTAAACACAAAGTTTGAAATAAAGTAAAACAGTATGTTTTAAAATATTAAAGTTTATATAGGTATATATACCTAGTTTTTCCAATATTAAAGCATTTTGTATAGTCTTATTCTGAGATTTTCAATTGAAAATAATTTAATATAATCAAATATAACATTTTTTGAAAGTTTTTTTGCCATTAGTAAGAATCTATGGCAAAATATATTGTGTGCAAGCTAATGATTAGTTCAACAACATTTTTAAATACTTGCTATGGGGTAAGTTATGTTTTTTCACTAGAGATAAGAGTAGACACTTATTATATAAAATGACCGATGCTTTGATTGAGTGAAGTCAGGATATTCACAATATCTAGGAGAGGCAGTTGACCCAGATTGGAATCATTGTGATGATTTTTTTAAAGATAGCTTTGTTCATTTAGGGTCACCATATAATTTATCATCCAAACTAGAACATATTTGAAGGTGAAAGAGGACTCTCCTTATAATTACATGAGGCAATGGGTATAATGGAGGCATACCAAGAAGGATGGCCTCTTTATTACATCCCCAAAATTTTAGCTGTGAGATCTTGTGTATGTCTATAAATGCATACATATCCATATGCTGCTCTCTTATTCAGGAAAACTGACTTACTTATTTCACAAATCTGGCAGGGACTTGTCTGTGCTACTTCTGGTTTTCCATCTATAAAACACTGGAGAAAATGTAAAATGCTAAGGTTAAATGTTCTTATGTTATCTTTTAATCACACTGTATGGATTAAAGATTGAGTGGTTAACTACAAAAACAACTGTGATCACTGTAAGCAAGTTAATTAGCTGTTTCTTTGCTTTGATGTGAGTGAAAATGACACCAGTTTAGTTTTAGAAGTGTTACACCATTTAATGGTGAAATGCCGTGGAGGCCTGCATGTTTGTTGAGACATGCTTTTGCTTGGTTTGCAGGACCAGTGGTTTTGGCGAGTAAGAAACAACAGGGTGATGGATGGATACCCCATGCAAATTACTTACTTCTGGCGGGGCTTGCCTCCTAGCATTGATGCAGTTTATGAAAACAGTGATGGGAATTTTGTCTTCTTTAAAGGTAAGGAATGTTTTCCATGTCTTGCTTTGCTGTATTTTGGCCGTTTTGTCCAGGGCCCTACAGCACACATAGAAATGAGAAAGTAAAACTTGTTGAGTGAGGTTAGGTATCTTATTCATCTTCTGAAATGAATTTCATATATTGACTGGAAATATAAATGAAACAAAATCAATGATCATGTTTAACTCTCTAATTTGTTTTCTTATATGGCATTCTCATATATAAGTCAAATTTAGAAAGCATGGTGTGATTTCTTAGAATTTTTAGATTTGAGTTAAAAGCACCAAAAGAAGTAAATTATGAATGAATGGATTGATTAATTACTAAAAAGCCATTTTTCAATTAACTAAAGAGGGTTTTTTTTCTTTTTTTCAGAGTATTTGTAGTTGCTTGTTGTTTTTATAAAATGAAATCTATTTTACTTCTTATTTTCATATACAGTATAATCTCTTTAGTCTTACTTGATTTAATAAGTTTGTTAAATAGTTTCCAGTAAACTAACAAATTGCTCATAAAGGCAAAGAAAACTCATGAAGAGGAAAATAAAATTCACCCAGTTAATTTCACCCAATAAAATGTATTACTTGTTATTTAAATGACAAATTTTAATTGCACAAAAACTAATTGCCTCCCATGCAAAAGTGAGATTACCTGGTAAAGCAATCTTAGTCAAGTGCCTGGTGTTGTATCCTCAAAACCTGCTAGTATTCAAAACAATAAATCATAAATCTGTGGGGGAAACACAGGGAAAAGAAAAAGATTGAGTTGGAGGATTGACAGAATTGTGAGGAGAATATTTTTATAGAACTTCCCTACAACCCAGCAATTGCACTACTAGGTATTTACCCAAAGGATGCAAAAATACTGATTCAAAGAGGCACATGTACCCCCAAGTTTATAGAGAGCCCAAATGTCCACTGACTGAAGAATGTATAAAGAGGATGTGGTATAGCTATACAATGGAAAATTACTCAGCCATAAAAATAATGAAATCTTGCCATTTGCAATGACATGAATGAAGCTAGAGTGTATTCTGCTAAACAGAATAAGTCAGTCAAATAAAGACAAATACCATATGATTTCACTCACATGTCTTTAATGAATGTAAGAAACGAAACAGATGAACATAGGGGAAAGGGAAAAAAAAAAGAGGGAGGCAAATTATAGACTCTTAATGATAGGGAACAAACTGAGGATTGCTGGAGAGGTGGTGGGTGGAGGATGGGCTAGATGGGTGATGGGCATTACAGAGGGCACTTGTTGGGATGAGCACTGGGTGTTATGTAAATGATGAATCACTAAATTCTACTCCTGAAACCAATATTACACTATATGTTAATGAACTGGAGTTTAAATAAAAATTTGAAACAAACAAACTAAAAAGATATTTGAGCTAAAACTGAGAGGTAGGGTACAAAACATATCGATTACTTGCTGACTGGTTGATTGATTGACTGAATATATTAGCCAAGAGCCTAAAGCACTGAAAAGAAGCTTAAACAGGGATAGAGGTAGAAGGGAAGAAAAGGGGATCTAAACCCCCCAAAAAATAATTATTCCCAGGGTTAAACTAGATAAATTTATAGTAATGATGAGGATAATGAAAATATAGAGTATGAGAAACACTTGTAATATTTTAAGTGAGAGCCAAACTATCCATATAAAATAAAAGTTAATACCTGGAATTTATTTTATCTTTACAGATTGTTCCTGGAGAAAAGGGCAGTAGAGTACATTAGTTATAAGTGCATGTGGATTCTGCAGTCACACTGCCAATTTTGAACACTTACTAGCTGTATGAACTGGGCAAGTCTCTTTGTCTCAGTTTCTCTCTGTGAAAAATGGGGTTAGCATTACTCCCCATCTCAGAATTAGTTTGAAACTAAATTAATTACTACATGTGAAGGGCTTGGCACACAGAAGCTTTCGATAAATGTCAGCCATTACTCTTACTAGTATGACAATTGTTAGTCTTATTGCCCTCCTGCTATCCACAATAAGCATGCAAATGAAGTGAATGTGGACGTGCATTGTACCACTGTGGACCAAGAAAGGATAGCTTCAAAAGGTTCTGAATCTTCAGAGCATCATGTTTTGGAAGGAAATTCCCCCTCTCCTTTGGTCCTATGAGCAGTAACAACAGAAAGAAAGGAAGAATAAGCCCAAGGTAGCTTTCAGCTTGAAGGCTGTCCCCAAAGGCCCTGTCTCACCACAGAATCATTAGTGCTCTCTGACAAAACTGCCTGAGCAGAAACTGGCCTGGACATAAATCAGTGTTCTGACAGCTCTTTCCTGCCTTAGGGCCTTCTCACTTTTATTCACTTTGCTTCTCCTCACCCATTCACTTGTGGAATGGGCAGCTCCTTTTCATTTTTCAACAGCCAACAGAAAAGGTACCTCCTCAGAATGTCCCTCTGTCCACCCTCTTTAAAGTTGCACCTTCCAACTTGCACACAGAACATAGAAAGAGTTGAAACTACCTACAGCACTCAAATGTAAATTTCATGAGAGATTTATCGTATTTTCTTGCACACTACTGTATTTTCAGTTCTTAGAACAGTGCTGGTGCATAGTAGGTCTTCCACAAACACTTTAATAAAAACAATATAGGTGAATATGGTTTGACTCCGTATGGTGTTTCTTATGTCATGATGCTAGCAACAGGAATAACTGTCCTTTCTGTCACATATTTATTCAACTTCCGGCACTTTGTGCTCACCAGTGGACTCTTCTGATATATTGCTGGTATCAGCAAATGTCTAATCTTAGAACTCTTGTCATTCCACGGGCCTTTTTGTGGTGCTTCCTTCCTCTAGTTATCTCTCCACAGCATTTTCAGAGAAACCTTCTCCAAACCCAGCAATGAATCTGCAGCTCCCCGGTTCCAATCAACATTGCTTTCCCAGAAGAAGCCAGAAGCTCTGGGTAATGGAAATAAGACCACCTTCCCCTAGTATCCACCTCCCAGATTTAAAGCCAGAGTTAAATCCAGAGTTAAAGCCCCAGAATTCTGGACTTTGGGTAATACACCACTCCTTTTGCTACCCTCACCGTAACAGTCACAACCAAAAAGATCATCTCAGCTTGCCAACATCTTCTTATAGCCTTGATCACCTCAAAAAGTCCAGCTTTAGTGAGGAATCAAATCATTCCTCATCCCAAAACCATCCTCCTCATGTTTGTTCAATGGGCCAGGAAGCAGGCTACATCTCATTTCTTGCAATCCAATCCCCCTCCCTGCTCTAATTCTCTACACACCATTTAGAAACTGTACATTTCACTTATTTATTGCTCATTGGTATCCTTCCCACTAGAATATCAGCTCCATAAGGGCAAGTCCTTCTCTCCCCAACTCTATTTTTTCTTTATATTTCCCTGTGTATATTGACAGACTTTTTCAATGATGACTAAATAGCGAATATTTTAGGCTTTGCAGCCCATACCATTCCTATCACATATCCTTTTTTTAACCTTTAAAAATGTACAAAAAAACTCTTCCTAGAGCATGGGCTGTACAAAAGCAGGCATTGAACACAGTTCGCTGACCTCTGTTTTAAACAATACCTGGGATATAGTAAACAGTAAACAAAGATTTATAGAACGAATAGAGAATAAAGTTCAAATCCTAATCTTTATCCATTTTCACAGCCCAAACTTTGGGCAAAATTATATGTATGCATATATGTCATATGCAGTGAGAGTTGTCAGCACATAAATTATAAAAACATGAAAACATAAGCAACTTGTCCTCTAAAAATGTGATTAGCTTGATATTCTTAACAGAATCTTAATTGCTCTTTGGTATGTTAGAGTATAGTATATCAATATATATCAATGTGTCTCTCTGATTCCAGCTGAGGTGTAATAATAGGATCAGACTTGTCTTCCTACCTAAAGCCACCAACAATTGGACCTAGTATATAAAACAATGATTTTCATGACACTGGACAGCAAGAAACAAAGGGTAGTGAACCTGAGAGTCAGGAAACAAAGAGAGATGATCCCAGATCCCAGATCCCAGTTTCGATTTGGGGAGAATTTCCAGGCCATAGAACAAGGTAGGGGAACCAGGTGTTCAGAAGACTGTCTCAGTTGAGGGTAATAGAGCAGAGAGGCAAAGGATAACAGGTGGCTGCAGTGCACAGAACAAAGCAACGCTGAGGAGAGGGGTGCACAGAGGGAGGATGCAGAAATTAGCAGAGGAACGTCCTAAAATATGGGAGAACTGGTCAGCATATGTATGTCAGGAAACCACTGATGTGTAGAGTAAGAATCGTTAATAGTATGAAATAGAACAGTTCCTGACACTTACACAGGAATAACAGTACTTACTCTCACCAGCCACCTCTCCATGGGCATCGGATAGAGTACTGAAAAAGGTCTTCCCACAAAAGTGGGTAAGGACTATCATAGAAGGAACATGTTCCACTCCTACCTGACAAATCTTGAAAGACTTGAAGCAATCAAATTGTTTCCAAGCAACATTCCTAGAACAAAGTTCAAGAATATTTATAAGGATACAAAAATATTCACCCCATGAGGTAAAACGCACAACATCTAACCTCTCCCATAAGATTGGGAATAGACAAGGATGTCATGCTTTTCCATTTTATTCAGTATTGTACTGGAGATTTTATGTAGTGTAAAAAAAAAGGCAAGTCAGTTGAGTGTTTGACTCTTGATTTTGGCTTAGGTCATGATCTCGCAGTTTGTGGGACTGAGAATGTGGGATGTCTGTGCTGACATCACAAAGCCTGCTTGAGATTCTCCCTCTCCCTCTCTCTCTCTTAGAAGTAAATAAAAAAAATTTTTAAATGTTTATTTATTTATTTTGAGAGAGAGAGAGAGAGACACAGTGTGAGCAGGGGAGGGTCAGAGAGAGAGGGAAATACAGAATCTGAAGCAGGCTCCAGGCTCTGAGCTAGCTGTCAGCACAGAGCCCGATGCGGAGCTCAAACCCACGAACCGTGTGATCATGACCTGAGCCGAAGTTGGACGCT